AATGCATCTGTGTCTGTGTAAATGTTGTATGAATGACTGTGAATCTCAATAATACTTGATATCAGTTTTATTTACGTTTTTTTTTCTATATCTTTTTTGTTCCAACTTAGAAAGTCATCGCAGTATGATACCAATTATTGAAGAACCAAACACTAGCCACGCACCCAATGGTCGACCCACCCAAGAAGAGAGCGAAAATGAGCATAGATGAACAGAAAACAAGAAACAAAAATACGTGTCCTCAGCCCCAAACTATTTTTTAAGAGAAACTTGCATTAAGCGTTGCGTGTGTGTGAGAATGTGTCGACTCTCGCACCAGGAACCGGTCGATAAGAGGGATTCCTCGAGGAAGTCGACATGGAGCCACGTTCTCCGCACATTTTTACTCTTCTCTGATTATCCTTGCCCATAAATCTCCGTCTGTGGAAGGCAAACAGGAAATGTACATTGAGTCTTTTTCTGGCTCAATAATCTCGGGTACTCGGCTTCGTTTCCAAGAGGGAGGGTTCCTCTTCGGAGAATTCTGGCGCCGAGTCTCCTCTTCGGGATCGGATATCTGTCAGCATTCTAGTCCACGCACGTGTGATTTTAAGTAACTGCGCACAATGCAAGGATATCAGCTCAATGGAAGAGAGAGAAGAAGAAGAAAAAGAATAGGAATGATAATAAGAAGGAAGAAGGAAGAGAAGAAGAAAAAAAATATGACGGTGAAGGAGAAGAAGGAGAAGAATTGTCCAGATTTTACCAGTCAAGAAGATGGTGATGGTGGTAATGACAATGACGAAGAATTGTCCAGATTTTGCCAGTCAAGAAGAAGAAGGTGATAATGATGCTACTGCTGCTGATGATGATGATAATGATAAAGCAATGCCCAGTTTTGTCAGCCAAGATGATGATAAGGAATTGTCCGGATTTCGCCAGCCAAGCCGGATATTCGAAGCGGAAGCCTCCGTCTCGGCCTCGACATCGTGACGTCTGTTCCTCTTCTTCAATCAGCTTCTAACCTTGATATTTCATTTCCAAATGACGTCACTATCCTGCAATCCAAGACTCATAGATGGTTCGTCCCCAACAGAACTGCCCTTTAACTTAATGCCAGACGGAGATGTTTGTCGTACCAACTTCAGGCTTTAGTTGTTTGTCTGTATGTTTTTTTGTTTGTTTTCCCTATTTTTTTTTTTTTTTTTTTTTTTTTTTTTTTTTTTTTTGCATACCAGTCATGCTACCTGAAGAGGATGAATATGACCGCGCGTATCAATACTACGTCTCGTACCAGAAACTCTCGGACAAGAAGTTATGACCGGAGTGAAAGTTGCAGGAGAAACACTTCGCAGAAGGGAGAACGCAGGACGCAGCGACCTTTTCGCGTCCCAGAATCATTGCACACTCCGAGAATCCAGTCGCTTCCCAGAATACCGTGTGATACAGTTCTGTCTCGTCGGTCCTACTGCTTGCCGCTGGATTTGAGCCGTCTCTTCAACGCCACGTGGGAAGAGATAATAATGGTTTGTTGTCCTTACGTTTCACTATTTGTTTCGGCTTTTAGGTCGTTCCTTCCGAGCTACGAAACCGAGACAAAACCGGTATCATGTGGGGGAGAAGATGATATGTTGTTGCACGCTGTACTTTAAGCATACCTGGTGGCATTAGAGCAATTCCCTCGCTGCACCTGATTCCAGAGACGCATTCCATCTACTGCTGCATCATCAAGGAGGAATTTTCATTTACGTTTTGAGGAAATGTGTTACCTTACGACCCACACACACACACACACACATACACACACTTCACCAACCTTCCCTCCACGTGTCATGTGAAGTAGGTCAGCGACACCTCATCCCCACTCCACCCTCCTCCACCCCTCCACCCCACTCTACCCCCCTCCCCAAGGTATATATGCCTGCCTTGACCGTTAAATGTTAGTCAAACCTTTCTCGGCTGATGCTAAATTCATGACGAACTTTCCGCGGCGTTCACACTCCCTCGTTGAGCCGCATTCCTCCGTTCTGCCTCGGCGCCGCGTCCTTGTCGGATTCACGGCGACCTCGAGAACCACGGCGTCCTGTCCCTCGTTGACGCCCTCAACTAACACCCTAGTATAACATTATATATAACATCTAAGAGAGAGAATATTCACAGTCAAGATCATATTTTCGAGTGTTTTCATATCCGAAGTTGTTAATATAACCATATGTATATGATATAGATAACAATATTATATAACTAATAACAAATATCAATAACATTAGTAATCAGTGAAACATGAAAGAAAAAAAAGAATCTGAAAAATATCGCGCCGCACGTAAACTACAAAACACGCGAAGCAAAATATAATTTCGATATATGAAATCTGTAATGTGATGAAATTATAGCATACAGAATGAACGATAAGGAATATTCGCCTTTACCATCAGAAATCATTTAGCATTAGAGGACTTACGGTAGCAGTTGTCGGCGACCTTTAATAGCCTATGGAAGTTAAGGTGTGACTTATGGCCCT